CCCCAGGGTATGAGTAGCACTACCCCCACCCATACCCCATGATATACCCACACCCACCTTGTGAGTGTGGGTTTTTTGGTGGGTATCAGGGAGAAACTACCGAGTCTTGAGTACCAACCACTGACCACCAATCACCGAGTGCCGAGGACTGAGTCCCGAGTCCCGAGTCCCGAGTCCCGAGTCCCGAGTCCCGAGTCCCGAGTCCCGAGTCCCGAGTCCCGAGTCCCAAGTCCCGAGTCCCAAGTCTCAAGTCTCAAGTCCCAAGTCTCGAGTCCCAAGTCCTGAGTCCCGAGTCCCAAGTCTCAAGTCTCAAGTCCCAAGTCTCGAGTCCCAAGTCCTGAGTCCCGAGTCCCAAGTCTCAAGTCTCAAGTCCCAAGTCTCGAGTCCCAAGTCCTGAGTCCCAAGTCCCGAGTCCCGAGTACCGAGTACCGAGTACCGAGTACCGAGTACCGAGTACCGAGTCCCAAGTACCAACCACTGACCACCGATCACTGAGTGCCAAGTACCAAGTACCGAGTACTGACAAATACAATTCCCAGGTTATTTGAGCCCTACACCAATGGATAATACATACAAATACAATTTGTGTCCATTTGAAGTACCAGGTTTCAGGTTTTGACACTCAACACTTGGTGATTTGTGAAATGAGTGAAAAATGGACATGTTGTGTACATGATTTTGGGTTTCAGGCTTTGGGTCTCAGCCCTCGGCACTCGGAACTCGATGATTTGAGTAATGTAAATGAAAAATCAACATGTTGCATGCCGGGTTTCGAGTTTTGGGTTTCAGCGCTCAAAACTCAGTGATTTGTATAGTGAGTGAAAAATGGACATGTTGTGCACATATTTTCGGGTCTCAGGGTTCGGGTTTCAGCCCTTGGAACTTGGAACTCAATGACTTGTGTAATATAATTGAACAATGGACATGTTGCACACCTGGTTTTGAGTTTCAGGTTTCAGCACTTGAAACTCGGTGATTTGTGCAACAAGTGAAAAATGGAAATGTTGCATACATATTTTCGGGTCTTGGGCTTCGGGTCTCGGCCCTTGGCACTCGGAACTCGATGATTTGTGTAATGTAAATGAAAAATCAACATGTTGCATGCCAGGTTTCAAGTTTCGAGTTTCAGCACTCAAAACTCGGTGATTTGTGCAATAAGTGAAAAATGGACATGTTGTGTACATATTTTCGGGGTTCGGGGTTCGGGTTTCGGCCCTCGGCCCTCGGAACTCAATGACTTGTGTAATATAATTGGACAATGGACATGTTGCATGCTGGGTTTCGAGTTTTGGGTTTCGGCACTTGAAACTCAGTGATTTGTGCAACAAGTAAAAATTGGACATGTTGTGCACATATTTTCGGGGTTCGGGTCTCGGACCTCGGACCTCGGAACTCAATGATTTGTGTGACGTAAATGAAAAATCAACATGTTGCATGCCGGGTTTCGAGTTTTGGGTTTCAGCACTCAAAACTCAGTGATTTGTGCAATGAGTGAAAAATGGACATGTTGTGTACATATTTTCGGGTCTCGGGGTTCGGGTTTCGGCCCTCGGAACTCTGAACTCAATGACTTGTGTAATATAATTGAACAATGGACATGTTGCACACCCAGTTTTGAGTTTCAGGTTTCAGCACTTGAAACTCAGTGATTTGTGCAACAAGTGAAAAATGGAAATGTTGCATACATATTTTCGGGTCTCGGGGTTCGGGTTTCAGCCCTCGGCACTCGGAACTTGATGATTTGTGTAATATAAATGAAAAATGGACATGTTGCATGCCGGGTTTTGAGTTTCAGGTTTCAGCACTCAAAACTCGGTGATTTGTGCAACAAGTAAAAAATGGACATGTTGTGCACATATTTTCGGGGTTCGGGTCTCAGACCTCGGACCTCGGAACTCAATGATTTGTGTAATGTAAATGAAAAATCAACATGTTGCACGCCGGGTTTCAAGTTTTGGGTTTCAGCACTCAAAACTCGGTGATTTGTGCAATGAGTGAAAAATGGACATGTTGTGCACATATTTTCGGGGTTCGGGGTTCGGCCCTCTGAGCTCGGAACTCAATGATTTGTGTAATTTAAATGAACAATGAACATGTTGCATGCCTGGTTTTGAGTCTCGGGTTTCGGCACTTGAAACTCAGTGATTTGTGCAACAAGTGAAAAATGGAAATGTTGCATACATATTTTCGGGTCTCGGGGTTCGGGTTTCGGCACTTGGCACTCCGAACTCAATGAATTGTGTAATGTACATGAAAAATGGACATGTTGCACACTGGGTTTCAAGTTTCACGCTTTGGCACTCGAAACTTGGTGATTTGTGCAGTGAGTGAAAAATGGACATGTTGAACAATGGGTTTCAGGGTCTCGGGTTTGAAAAATAGCATAATAACAACTTTCATGTTTTCATTATCATTTGCCTATATTGACTACCGAGTCTGATAAGAGACCCCTTGGATGATTCATTGCTCAATGAAATACTACCTGATTGGAAGTGTGCTGGTTATCAGATATTCATTTGTCGACTCCCGGGTCCCGGAACTTGGAAGTCGGTACGGTTGACCCAAATTTGGGTGGTCAGAACTTAGCGTCTCATAGGGCAACACAAGCTTCACACCCTGGATTCCAAATTCTGCAAGACAACCTGTGCACCATCAAATGCCATGTCAGGAGATCACCTGCTGCTCTGGGAACTCGGGAACTTTGATTTATTACCTCCTCTGAGTACGGTTGACCCAAAGGTTGGTAATCGGAACTTGGCTTCTCATAGGGTAACACAAGCTTCACACCCTGGATTCCAATTTTTGCAAGACAACCTGTGCACCATCAAAGGCCATGTCAGGAGATCACCTGCTGCTCCAGGAACTTGGTAACTTTGATTTTATTACCTCCTCTGATTTGGTTGATGTACAACTACCTCAGCTCCATTGTGTTTACAATTATGATACACATGGGCCCATCCATCTATATTTTATACCACCCTCGGCCCACCCGTCTAATACAACATCCCATACAACACCCTCGGCCCACCCATATAATACAATATTGTATAATACCCTTGGCCCACCCGTCTAATTTAATATGTGTCTGGGCCCACCTGTGAATGTGATAACAAGTACCTACCCATCTATCTCATACACATCTATCTTAATACACCCATCTGCATAATATCCAACTACCTCGGCCCACCCGTCTACCTAATATTCATGTACATCAGCCCACTCATCTACTCTATATATCCCCTGCATGGGCCCACCCGCCTCCATTGGGAATAATTTGCCTCCCGGCCCATCCGTCATAGTCGAGGATATTTTTATCATGGGCCCATGGTCCGCTGGCCCGTATCATATGGGATATTATGCACGTCTGTTCCCTCGTATTATACGGAAATAGGTCACTGTAATATGTGGACATCTGCAACCATCTTATGGATGTCGACGATGCTAACCCTGCCACACAGCCCACTTTCCTGGGGGACTACGATTTGGATGACAGTCTCAAGCTACAGGCCTTGGACGATGACTCTGACCTTGAACCTCCCCCCCTGGCTCAAAAACACATGTCCCGCTCCATCTTCCCAGACTTTGACTTGCCAGTCGTGAGTCAGAAGCGCAAAATATCACCTCTTAGGGACGATGACGACTTATTGATATCGTCTGAAGTTGAAATTGTGGGGGGTATCAAGAATGAACCTACTGAGCCAGTGCCCATGCGCCGTTTGACATCTACAGTACACCTTTGTTTCTTAATGGTATATTTTACTGATTCAAATATGTTAGACTAATGTCACTGCGACGCTCAAAGCACCCCCAGCAAAGTGGGTGAAGTCCGAGTCCTCTGGTACCATGGATCCCCCCCACATCATCGCTGCTCCATCCAGGGCAATGGCATGTTCTGCATACAGGAAGAAGCATCTCCCCCAGGGTTGTCAGGATGGAAATAAGTGGGCAAGGGAGTTCATCCCCACCATCATTTGCTACATTGGTGATCAAGATGAAGTATGGACTCTTTCTGACGATATACTATGTCCTATCTTGCAGTCAATTTGGAATGTGGTCTACAAGACCAAGACTCCACATACGGTTGAAGCTGATGGGGCGGTCATTGCTCTGGTATGTTTTTTTTTCAGACGCTATTTAATTCTAACCATTTGTTTTTTATCAGACTCTTCAGCACTTGTCAGAATGGCGCAATACTATCAGCAATGTGGCCCTCGTCATACTCACAAACTTCATGAGTTCGCAGGGCGACCTCAAGACTGATCAGTGTTACGCACTCAAATAGATCTGTTATGCGGAGCCCTAAGAGGGGCATTGTCCGCTAATGTTCGTGACGTAACCAGAAGGGTCCAGTGTAGTGACTGAGACTGGCGACGATGAGTCGGCAGATATCAGAGACACGCGTGTCACGTGACTTCTAAGACGGATGTCTTCGAGGTCACTGACGTTCTCAAAGTAAGGACAGTCTTGTCCGAACAATGAGTAGTCGATCGAGGTAGACTTAGGCGCGATGAGCACCTAAGAAAAGATACTAGAGACTGAAGCTGAGGGGGCTTCAGAGGGAAGTATGTTCCAGGGAAGATTGAGTAGATTCAAGTTAGGGAATCTAGTACAGGGTGACCGACTACTTATACTAAGTGGAAAGGATTAAGGGCAAGGCTACCGTACTGTGGGTAAGGGCAAAGGGGAAACGGAAAGGGTATAGGTACACTGGTAGCAGAGCCTGATTAGTGATGTGAGGTCGAATGCGGAATGAGACCGAGAAACGTTGGAACGAGCCAACGGTAAATGATACAATGTGCAGCACGCATGAGTCAGAGGAAAGATAAGACAAGATAAGGGAAGCCACATTGGTGGCACGAGTCAGAACGAGTCATAGCCCGAGGGCACGTGCACACATTGGTGCGACAAGAGGGGGATGAGGGATGGGAACGGTCCCGGTGGAGAGGGCCCTGGGCCTCGACACTGGTGGACAGCAGATGATGGATGATGATGCTACAACACGTGGGAAAGCTACTCTAAAACACCTGCTAGGACCTTGGACACCTCTGAGACTCCAACTCGAACCCCTCTGAGACACCTGCCTCCTCGAATGGACTGACCCCTGATGCCAAACACCCTACTACAAATACCCCCCACTAAAATGCGACACTCCCGGGTCGCTGAAGCCTCCAGCTGACTCAGCCTCCAGCCGACTCATCCTTCTTTCTCGTTCTCCCGCTCTGCTGCTTCCTTCCTCTTTTCTTCTTCCATCTCCACTAATAGTGTTCCAGTTCTTGGCAGGAACAAGCGCAAATGCCTCATGTGGTACCATCCTGGTATGGGGAAGCCCTCCAATGTTTCCAAGGAGTACGAGTTGGTGCGGCGATTGATGACTCTGCGAGGTGCGGACCACCTAGGTAAGATTTTGCGGCTTGTTTGGAACGTTTGGTCTAACTCGCTCGCATATGTCTGCACCAACTGTCCTGGTGCGAATGTCACTTCTCCCATTGTCGATCCTAGGACGCGTTTGTCGAAGGACGCCTTTCGCTTGATGGCGTTTGACACTCTGTTTGCGAGTGCGTCGAGATGTTGTTGCGCTACATATGCTGAGTGTACATTGACGTCATCTGATGAGGCCTCATTTGCGAGCGTCGAGATTGGTGTGTGAGGGGTGCTGATTACTAACCCCAGGAGTAGTTCTTTAGGTGAGAACTGGAATGCTGGTAGGATGCGGCCATTGAGATGTTCGATTGCCGCTGTAGAGACTTGTGTGTCTCATGGTCTGATATGACAGCTTTACACTAGGAAGTACATAGCACGAACTTGTAGCGTCACTCTGTGCGCTACCTGCAGCTATCTCTATATGAGGCGCAGCTTTCCCGCGCAACGCGCGCACCATTCCCGTTGTAGATGAGGAATCTTGACTATACGTGAAAACACTTAAAACTAAAGGGGTGCTCAACAGCAAGACCGGGATACGAGACAACGACTCGACCCAAAGGACAACCACTGAGAGAAGTTCCTCGAAATAAAGTGGAGGGAAACTCTGTGAGCTAGGCGGGCGCTAATAGGCGCGAGAAGATAAGGCGCGCGAAGGCGCGCGAGATGCGCGCGTGAGCGGGAGGTCCGAGAATATGCGCGCGCGAAGCGAAGGCGCGCCTAAAGCGTTAGAGGCAAGATCTTACTGAGGAGTGAGTGCAAAGGTGGAGGATTGACAGGAGGATATGATCAGATAACAAGTGGGGAGGTGATCTATTCACTTTCCAGTACACAAAGATAAGGGAAAAGTAAGTACCAGAACTAAAGGAAACCCTTCTGTATTTAAGAATGGAGAAGGCGCGCTTCCGAGCGCGCTCCCAAACCGAGTAACCATATCAACTCTAATTATAACTAAGTTTAAATAAACTTTCCATAAGTAGCGCGGATGTCGGACCGAAGATTTTATTAGTTCAATGGATAAGATAGAAATAACGCACCAGCGAATCAGTAAGGACATGGGACGGATGGACGGACGATAGCGCGAAGACCTATGAGGAGGCGCGCGAAGCGCGCATAGCGCGTGCGTAGGTAAGGCGCGCGTAAGTGCGCGCGAGTTCGGATAAGGCGCGCGCGAGTGCGCGCGAGACTGGTCCTTAGGAGTAGAGCTGTAATGTATAGGAATGTATGGTTAAAGGCCAGATATTCGTCATTGAGACGCGCGAGTCTCTACATCTCCTGGGGACTTACATTCTGAGTGTCCCCACTCAGTGCTATAACGCAGGATCTTGGACTTAGAGAGGTGGTGATAGACAGGGATCAGGTGATCGCGAGAGTAGGGCCGTCCTTTGATGATCGCGAGCATCGATGATGTAATCGGAGGAGATGTTGATAAGAAGATGGACGTGTTCTCGCGATCTCTTGACTTCTTTGTTATCAGTTTTTCATCATGCCTACTTTCAACGTTGCTATGCTGAACTCTACTCCTTCCCCTGAGCCTGTTCCAGTGGCGCAAGGGCTTCCTGAGGACGCGCCTATGCACGACGCTAGCGCGGAATCCGATACCGACCGCCTCTTGACCGCTTGGGCCTCCATCCTCATTTCCCTGGAAGGATGCGTGATGTCCGCGCCTGAACTCAAGGCGGAACTCCTCGAGGATCAGGAGATGTGGTTGCGCGAGTGGTATTCTGTGCTGGTGAGTGCGCTTACATGTCTAGATCTATTGTAGCCTAAGATTTCTAGGCAACCTTGAACGGCTGTTCCACGCGCGCGGGTGTGTTAGCGGTGGCGCTGGAGATGGATGATAAGAGCGCGGAGTTGTTGAAGCAGGGGCGGAAGAGTTGCAAGGAGATTGAGGCGGTTGTGAAAGATTGGAAGGCAAAGGCGATTGCATCAGTTCCTCAGGCGCCTCCCATGCAAGCTGCGCGCGCCACTGGCGCGTCCGAAGTCGATGCGCGCGCCACTGACGCGTCTGGTACTGATGCCAGCAAAAAGGTGCGCCTCTCTATTTCCTGTTGGCGCGCCTCTCTATTAACGCGTTTGGTTGCGCTAGCCGCGCGTTGGGCGCATGTCTGTGACCAAGGCGCGGCGCTGTGGCGCCTGCATTGCCAAGGACATTGACTGTGGAGGCGCGCCTGGTCGACGGTGCCCTCCTTGTGATGTTTCCAAGCGCGCTTGCACTTTCTGTAAGTCGCGCCTATTGTCTTTCATTGGCGCGCGCCACTGACTGCTGTGGATTAGCTAAGCGCAACCTTACTGATGTGCCTAAGGCGCGCCCGCGCAAACCAATGCCCAAGCGCCCTATCGCAGAGTCTGCAAAGGAAACCGCTTCCTCTATTGCGGTTGAGGATGAAGAAGAATCCGAGGAGTCGGAGATGGATGTGGAGATTGTTGGGGAGCGCTCTGTGGAGGAGAAGGTCGTGCGCGCCTCGCGCGATATTCCAGTGCGCGCCGTTGGTCCTTTGGCGTCTGGTTCTGCGCTTAAGGGAAAGGACAAGTTCAAGGATCCAGCGGTGGAGTTGAAGGAGGCGCGCGCCGAAGCCGCGCGTTTGAAGGAGGAAAATGCGCACTTGCGCACTTCCACTCTCCAGATGCGCCAGTATGCGCGCGCCCAACAGGCGGACCTCCTCAACTATTCCAACAAGTTTTTCGCTATGTCTAACGCTTGGGCTGAACTGGAGAGGCAGATCAACGACTCCCTTAAGTAGATGCACTTCTCTTTTGTTTTTCTTGTCTCCTAAGCGCCAATGCGCCTGTGTACTCCTTTTTGAGCGCCAATGCGCCTGTACAATGTATCCTGTGTTGCCATGTCCATGTCCATGTCCTTATCTGATTCACTGGGCTTAAGAAATTAAAATGATAAGTATGTAAGTAAATGACAAGCGCGCAACGAGATCAAGGTAATGCAATGGACTTTACTGAATTTTCTGCGGGGTGCGCGCCCGTCTTGTCTTCTTCGCGCGCCTTCCATCATCTATTCCTGCCGTGTTGCGCCGCGCGCGTCGAAACGATGACGCGCGCGTGCTTGAATGAAAGTTAGAGAAAAAAAAGGTGCGCGGCGCCGCGCGCGTGTTAGAAAGTGAAAGTCTAATGAGGTGATTATGCGCGCGCTATACAATTAAGGTAGTGATCAGTATGTACTTGCGGGGTATTAGCGTGTTTCTTAGTGCGTTGGTTATATTCTAGAGTCTGTGGGGTTTATGTGCAGGCAATGCGCGTTATATGAACAAATGATATGAGAGATATCACCGGACGAAACCCGGGGTAAAACTGAGAGTATGTACTTAATGGAATATTTTTGTGTTCTTCGTATTATCTGGTGTTTTTGTTTTTATGTTTTTGAGGGGCGCGCGTTCGCGCAAATATGATTCAGTGATGCGCGGGCGCGCGGAATATGGTCGCGCGCGCTAACCGTCTTGCGCGCGCTCGGGCTCGTCTTCATCGGGTTCTACGGTTTCATACGCTTCTAGTTCGTCGATGCTCTCGTCGTCTACTCCAGTCATTTGGGTTACCGATACGCGCTCCTCGCTACGCGGGTAGTAAGGAATGACGCGAAATGCGGCGAAGCGAAGTTTTGAGATTGCGCCGTCCAACTCGGCCAACATATATGAGCCTCCCTTCGTGCGACGCACTACGATCATAGGTCCCAAATAGCGTGGCTTCGTCTTCTTGCTCAGCTTGTATTCGACTTTCGAGTTGCGTACCAACACTAAAGCGCCAGGTTCGAAGTCGTGCGATTTGATAGACGCACGGAAGCGTCTCTCAAAATCGCGTATGGACTTGTAGCGCGCCGCGACTACTTTATCCCTAATCGCGTTAATATCTTCT